GATTAAAGCGATAGCCAGAGTGGGAGTCAGAGAGAGAAGGAAGCCCTGCTTCATCGTCCTCATCATCATCTTAATTGCTTGCTTCAAGTGCTCTGAAAGCTAGGCTACCTGGTCTCTGCTGGCTTTAATCTACAGCCTTACATAAACAAAGCTGGGTACAAACACAACTGAAAAGCACATACGCATGAAATATCTCCCAAAAAGACAGAGAGAGAGAGAGAGAGAGAGAGAGAGAGAGAGAGAGAGAGAGAGAGAGTGTGAGAGAGAGAGAGAGAGAAAGAGAGAGAGAGATGAGATGAGATTGCATGATCTATATTGTTTGGATTTCACCTAGAGCTGCAATGATTCGCTGACAAAGTCAATTAGTTGTGAACAACATCAACAAAAGCATCCTTTAATGCTCTATATTTGTATAAATACACTGCACTAAGTTTTGGGGACCATTTGGCTTCTAACGCTTCAATTATGATACACAGCCGGAACTGCACAGAGTAACAGCATTACTGTGAGAGAGGCAAAGTGAGAAGTAACCGTAGAATGACCATAATTGTAAGTTAGCTGATCATAGAAATAACTGTTAGTTTCAGTCCTAATTTAACGTTTGACGTCTGAGTTATAAGAGCGCAGACGGTTTGAGAGGCAGCCCAGGGGTGATGATGGGAGGTGCGGCCTCAGGCCTCTCAGGCCTTGTGCCGGTGGTCACACGCTGCCGGCCCCAGTGCCGGACACTGATTTATGAGCCAGAGGATTACCGGCCAGCCAGCCATGAGGACCACCCAGCTGGTGGCACACAACGGCAGGCAAGCACACATGCACGCATATGCATGCACAGACAGATATAAGCAACATTACTTTTAGTCTCACTCATTTGCCAGGCAAACAAACTGAGTGTGTTATATAGTGCTGCACAATAGGGGCAAAATACCATATTGGTATAGTAAGAATGTGACATAGTTAAAGATTAGGGATGCACAATGATATCAGATTCATATCAGCAGATATAAGTTTGGGTTTGACCGATGTTTTAAACCGATATTTGATGTATTTGTAGGCTGGAAGAAAACATTATCTATACAACCACACTATTTATACAATGCAATATTTTAATTTGTTTGATGATGTGAATGCAATGAGTTAATCAAACACCCTAGGAAACATACCTGACATGTGTGAGAACTGGTCAGGATGCCCATAGCAAACAAAAAAAAACTGTGATTTGTTTAAGGGCTATTTACACACACACACACCAATGACCAGCACCCGGCCCGGTAAGCAGGAAGCATAGAGGATCAACTAAATCAGATTTCTGAAGGTTGGGTGGAGTTCAACAGTAAAACCCCTGGCCTCACCCACACAAGCTAGGACAGGTCACCATACCACACCGCTACAACTGCTACATATCTTTTACATATATGTCAACACTGGCACCCATACAAAAACATTTCTAAAATGTAGACATTTCGTCTACATTTATCTGAGTTAGCATTCTGGAGAAACATACCCCCATGTCCAAACATTCTGCATTTCCAGAGTACAATAAACACACGTTCAAACATCAGTTTAAAATACCAAAAATACCAACATCTGTCTAATCTGTCTTAATCTGCCCTAATTTTTTTAAAGCAGTTCCATATGTGAATGTAACTGAACTTTTTAACAGGATGGGTGATGTGATCTCCTACATTAATACATTCATTGTATCTAGCATAGATAAGACTGTTCAAGAAACATGACTGTGCTGGTTAAATTTGCAGGCAGATATCATGCCTGTACAAAATGTATGTTTCGGTGTACATTCTAAGACATCTTCAGACCACAGCGTCAGGTTTCAGACATCAGACAAAACAGGTTTGAATCTTGGGAAAAACATGAGAAAAAACATGTCTAAGCTGTTGGACATCAGGTGAAACAGTGCGTTTGAAAAGGCCTCAGGTAAAATGGCTTCAGAGAAGAATGCATATTTCCATGTCTCCTGCAATGTAAGGGACCATCGCTGAGGTACTAGATGAGAAGGTGAAGCAAAAGGGAAAAAGTAGTTGATACCTTGTGAGTTAGTTGGAAGAACAGAGTTTTCTCCCAGATTTCTCCTTGATACCACCAGCTATCATCTGAATTATTAAATTCCATTCACAGCACACACGACTTAATTTAATGAAGGACTGATTAACTGGATAAGTACAAATAACATCAAGCTTCTTTGAGAAGAGGTTTAGAAATGTTTAAATGAGAACACTGACATACATAAAAATCACTCCTCACTGTATTAATGTCTTTGTAATGAGTCTAATATTAGTGTTTATATGAGCAAATAACTGCTCAGTATAACAGCTTTTTAAACATAATTTGCTCAGACTTTTTCAAAGTACTATATGTAATAAGAATACAGATGAGCACAAGCACACACCCTTCAGAGGCCAGGGCTGCAAGAGGGATGAGTAAAACAATAGGAAAAAGTGACAGATCATCCGCAGTGCATTCCCAATGAATGTACTCACCTACCAACCACCTGACAGGTAGGCAAACACTTCAGCAATCAACTGCTCTGATCTAAAGTGAAAATACACACACACGAAAACCAACACTAGTCTATTCTCAGCTCAGTGCTTTCTATCTTTTCAGACAACGGCAAATGTACACAATGGTTAATCACAGGATATAGTTAAAGTAATATACCTTCAAATGCTCAAAAGAGCAGCACATCAGTGGATGAGACCGAACAGGGCGTCACACTATGCTTAGTGACTGTGAGTCACTTGGTTTGCTAGATCTTAGCAGGATAAACCTTTAGCGTTTGAATGAAAGTCAAAATAGTATCAGAGAGCCATGCTTTTCTTGCCAGACTGAGAGAGCGAACCCAGTGGACAGTGCCGAATGTGTCTGTGAGAAACTCCTCAGAACAGTGTGCTTTAGCCTAATATTTCCAACCAAACACATCACCCATATTTTTCCCATATCCCACTGCTCTCAAAAACCTCATTGACAGTTTTTTTTTACTACTTCCAAGTCATGTGACTGGGGATTGGGCGATGATGTGGGACGGGCTTGGCGGTAGCCAGTTGGCCGCCAATGCAAAAAAAAAAAACTGTGAACAGTTGCCATAGCAGCACGTCAACAGCGGGTCGGTGGAGAGGACTGGGGTGTGTAGTGGTGGCTGACCCGAGTGAGTCCACCATTCAGTAGCATATCCGGCTCCTGTGGCACTCTGCAAACACTCGGCCTCCCCCAGTCAAAAGGCCTTGGAGGAGAGGAAGAGGGGCAGAAGCCCAGTGACACTTAACACACACACAAACATGTCTTAAGGTTAACACACAGACACACTCACACACACACACATAGCTTCAGATCTGAAAAGCTAAGAGAAGCTACACTGATCCTACTATATCCTACCTAACCAAACTACACCCAAAAGCAAAGACACACCTGATTGTCAATATCAGACAAAGCAAGTGTCGTCATGTCACATGTTCCGCTCTCATTCCACTATACTACTTAGGCCTGTGCCCAGTGATAACCAAACAACCAAGATGCCATGGTAACAGCCCCAGAGATGGGAAAAACTTACTAGTTTAAAAACCTGCTGTTCATTTATTGATTAATTTAATGCAAACCATTGCAAGACACCAGCGTTCCCACAAATGAACATAATTTTTATGTTTTAAACATTTTGGATAATGTGATGTCCTACAATAATATCACATTTATTGTACATAACATAAAGCAAAACAGCTTTATGTCTCAAGAAAATTATGAGAGAATTCATGTCTCAGCTCTCGTACTTCAGAGAAGAAGCTAGGCTAAGCCTCCTGGGATGGTAAATTTGGTGATATTCGCAACTTTTTTCCTACGAGATAAATTACAGTTTTGTGGTCAAATTAAAAGTGACAGTATACTACAACCACAATCTTTACTGAATTGCACTTTTATTATGCTCTTTTATCTCACAAACACTGAGCTTCAACTCACACAGTCTGTGCTTTCTCACAAGCGTGCTTTCATGCAAGGAAGCATCTCAAAATTATTGGGTGAGAAAGTTTACAGTCGTACCAGAGCAACACACACTAACATTGTCACCACCATGTCAGTTTGTCACTGTAAGTGCTGAGGGTGATATATATATATATATATATATATATATATATATATATATATATATATAAATATGTGTGTGTGTGTGTGATATGACACAGGATACTTGCCAAAGCCTTTTATGCTTATATTTACACATTTAGAAAGAATATCAAATGTGTTACAACACAGCTATGCGGAATTTAGTAAAGAACATTTAAGAGCTCAAAAGGGCACTTTCATCCCCATTTTCATCTTGAAAATGAGCTAGCAAACATGCTGCTTCATGTTTCTTTGTTAGCAAAAACAATGGTTTGGCTGAGGACTAAGGAGTTTGGCCAGGGCTAACTTTGAGAAATAGACTAAACAGTTAATAGTGCTCTGGCACATAAACATGTAACCAGCAGACAGATGAAGTTTAGCGGAGGTGCTGCATTTAATAGGCCTAGACCCCAGCATCCCACTAACGCTCTGGATGTAGGCCATTTCAGGCCTTATGGGGCTTTAACACTGAGAACAGTAGCTTGTCCAAGTGTGCTGCAACATACAATATATCACAGCACTGCTCAAAACAGAGCAAAAAAACATGATTAAGTCATAGGGCCAAGGGTTGCATATTAGCCAAAGGTATCCTCTTTTTGCCAGGATTGATGCAGGCTAAAGTGGAGTTGCTGTGCTAACCTTAAAGACATACTTCAACTAAAAATGCTAACGCAGCTAACTACAATCAAAGCTAGTGGGGACCAGCTAGCATTATCACAGTAGTGTAATGCCAGCTGACCCTTAGTAGCTTAAAGCCATTATAAGCAACATTAGCTTTTCTGGCTGATGTGTTCCTTTAAGGAAGCCTACGGCTGAGGTTTACGAGGTGCAGCTCAGATGTTGGAACACCGCAAGTGCTTTTTGAAAGTCTCTGGAAACATATATGCTCTCACCACAAGAATCCGCGTGAAGCAAGCAAGTGTGTCTGCTTTCCCGGAATCAGGCTTCCACAGCTGCAAGAGAAAAGAAAGAGAGAGAGAGTGAGTGAATGAGAGAGAGAGAGAGAGAGAGAGAAATACAGCATCACTTATTTTATTTGCTAATACAGGGCCAATCTAAAACACATTCGCAATATCAGGTTACGCCAGCGCATGTACTGTACGGTCAAACCACTGGAGGACACTGGGGGATTCACTACATGGTGTAAAGCAAGTTGGATAGAGAGGCTTAAATCTCGAAGTTCAGCTGTAGGTAAAGGATCTTTAATCATCCTTGAAACCATCAAAGACGTGCAATTCAACAGTGCCTTCTGGGACACAGGGTGAGCTTCCAGATATTTTAGGCTATTTAGCCATTAACAGTTAACACAAAGTATTTCTGGAACACATCATCATAACATCTTAATATCTTTTGCAGTCTACATTTTCCAAAAGTGTTATCATAGTGATGTATAACTTACAGCTTGACCTTAAATGGTCAGTAATTAATCAAAAATATTACATCATGATATTTGAATTTCATGACATTTTCATGATACACAGTATCATTTATTCACAGTAATTCTCCCTGTGATATGGTATACCAATATGCTATAAATATTTGCAGGCATCGTGATGTACAAACAGTGCAAACATCCTATGTTATCTGAGTCAGGACTGTTTCAGGCACATTTCTTGATCTCTTGATCTCTTGATCATCTCCCACTGTCCAGTCTGTTGCATCTGAAGTAGTCCACTTTGTTTCCAAGGCAGTGACCATAAAGAAATGACTGATCTTTTGGGGTTAGCCCTAGCCTAACATGGACACCAGACAATTTTATAAAATGAGTGTGTCTGTCGAAGCGAGAAGTCAGGCACGATTAGAGTAACAAAAGCAGCAGATGTGGGGAGTGGTGTTCCTCACGTAGGTCGGCAGGGGAGCCAGTCCGCTATTATTAGAACCACTTTCCTAAAAATAAATCCCTGAACTCAGACACTGGCACCGTGAATAGCTTAAACAACCAAGCGTCCCCCACACTTATGACTTCAGTGGTATGGTCCGCGTCACTCTTGACGAAATGCTAACCTCATAAAAAGATATTGTAATCGGACCTCCGGCGAGAGTTGGAGGAAACTCCAGCTCCGGCCTGAGCCACCATCCAGAACTGAGTCATTTCATTGGAAACTTGAGTCCCAGCGGATCTAAGCCAGTTTTCCCTAATGCTGCCACAAAGAGCATGAAAATACACAGAGCGGCACATCTGGATGATTATCCGTAAAGAAAGCAAGGAGTGCAAAAGTAATGTTATTGTTAGGTGGAGTTATAAGCGCGTGCATGTGTGCACCTGTGTGTGAGGTAAGGACACCCACGGTTGAAATCTTGGCTGAGAATTCTCACTCCTGTTTGTTAATGTAACTAAAACACACTGATAAACACAGGTGATGTCAACAAATCACCTTCAGGGGGTGACCGCCAGCAGGACGGGTGTAACCACGGTAAGGGTGCATTCCACTGCTCTGAGCTCCGAGAGACGGCTCGTCATCCTGCACTGGTTAGGTAAACCACCATAGTGGGCTGTGTGTGCATATCAGTGTAAGCAAACTGCAGGTGGGGGTGGCAGACTCAGTAGAGAATTAGAGAAGCCCCCCAGCACAATACCACACATGATCTATACACTGTAAAAACACATATACACACACACACACACACATACTTCAATCAGTATCAGAGAAGAACATGACAAGAGAAAGAAGGAGACAAAAAGGTTAATTAGAAAAAATAAACATTGTCATTCAGTCGCATAGCAAATGTTTTTTATACAGGTGGGAGTTTATTTGTATAATTTAATAATTGACATAAATATCCTTAAAACAGTGAGGTCCACAAGACTGAGACCACACTGAAAATTTGGGAATTTTTTTTATTCAAACATGGAAATAAACATTAAAACCTTCATTAAAAAACATAAAAAAAAATTTAACAAAGAACAGTTACGACTATTTCTAGGTCATTATTCAAATTTAAGCAAATTTGTGACACTAACTATGTTAAGTCCTTTGCACTATTTTTTTTTTGAGACATTTTTCATTGAAGTACATGTTCGGACAACTCCCTGGCGGATTTGATTCACTGTATTGTGATATATACCAAAAAAGAGTGCATGCGAAAGGAGACAGTGAGTGGGAGTAGGAGAAAGAAAGAAAGAAAGAAAGAAAGAGAGAAAGAAAGAGGGAGAGAAATAGAAATAAATAAAATGAACGGATACAGTAAGAGCAAGCCAAAAAGAAAGGAAGCATGACAAGAGAGATTCCTAGGTAACAGCACCCTCTACAGCAAGGCCCACTTTTTGCCCCTTCAACACATCACAGATCAAACTGAGAGATGTGACTGCTGCCAGGATCATCTCACACTGACACTCATTTATCCTCTTCATAGCAGCTTGCTTTGTCTTCCAATAGTAACTCCATTTACTCTAAATTAGCTCAAATGTAAAACAGGTCTAAAGTATTTCACCATTGTTAAAAAAGCAAAGAGGCGGGTCAGGGGATGTACGATCGGAATCGGCCAAAATGGGACAGATTTTTACCTCAAACACGCAACTGGCAATTGGCCAGTTTATTATTTTTATTTTGGCTGATCTGTGTTGCAAGTTTATGATGTAAATAACATGAGCTATCTAAGCGCACTTGTGCAATAGTTCTATACTTGTGTGCACATTAAAGAGCAATAATAATGTTGTGGTGCAACTTTGGCTAATAGAAAGCACTGGAAATGTGCTAGTGTGGTCCGTGTGTACATCCAGCCCACATAGTGTGAGCTTCAGGAGGAGGGCAGTCAAGGAGAATCGCCCATCCTTCGGTCTGGCTGTAAAGAAAACGTAACCTAAAGCAGTACATTCCAAGCTTGGCAAGTTTGGAAGTTCATTGCAGTAACATAGCAATAGTAATTTAGCCACATATGATTTTGTGCATTTATACTGCACTGCACCGCTTGTAGCTACAGTGCTAACTTGTGTTCATAACTGAGCTGCTGTTCTGAACCAACAAAATAACTGCACCTCCCCTAAGATCAAGGCTACACCTCATAAGGTTGTTTTACCTGCGCTGGAACAGTGCCATGGGGTAGAAGGGTCAATCAAGACAGAACGACGTGCAGGTGTGTTGATAGTGTTACCGGATACCAAGATAGAGATTTACAGTGGTTTAGCTAAATCCCTGCACCAAAGTTTTGATGCAACCGAGTTTATCTTGCTGAGGAGCAGATCATCTCCCGTAAAGACACTCTATTATGAAATCCTGGGCAAATGTCAAGATAAGACCTGTTTGGACGGTGTCTCGGATATGGCCAAGACAAACTTGCCATCATTCTCTTACTGCTTCTCTCCTCACACACTGAAAAATATGTGTTGAATATACTTAATTCAAATACGTGTAAATATGTATAAATTGAAATTTACAGAAAAAGCAAGTAAATTGAAAGGTTAAATTGTGTAGATAGTTGTTTGAATCAAATTCAATGCACTATTTTTTCCTGTGTACCATGTCTTCACATTGAGAGCATTTAACCAACACAACTGAACCTGTTTCTGCAGAAACTTCTAGAAATGACTATCAGCAAACAACACTCTCAGTCCCCCACAGTCTCACCTCCAGCAAATCTTACAGAGCTACAATTACGCAATCCTGACATTCACACAGAAGGACACAAATGTTTCTTCTTTCCTCTGGGCCCCATTCCTTCACACTTTCACCGCACAGTCAAACTTTACAAGCTCTAACGAGTGCTGGGTGTAATTACAGCACAAACCAACCCTCCACAGAGTGACACAGTAGACACAGTAGACTGGTAAATTCCTGGTAATGATAAATCACAATCATAAACTATTTGTCGGTCCGCCATCGGGTAATTAAGAGAAGTTTACAGCAGCCAGCTGAGATTCAACATGGCTGTGCACGCTGACAGCTGGGGTCTCGATAAGCTGGTGACCTAAAAATCACACAGCTGCGAACTGAGCAAAAGGGTATAAAAAGGGGGGGGAAATAGGTGCCTCGCCTTGACCCTCAGTGTTATGCAATGGTTGCAGAATGCCAATGGTATCGGAGACAGATTAAGACCAGGAGAAAGGCTACAAAGGAGAAGAATAATAAATTGTAAAAGGCAAAATAGGGGATGCATTATCACTTTTCTTTTCAGCAGAACACTTGTGCACGAATGTTGCCTTGCTTATAAAAGGATGCACTGATTGCAAATGTAGACAGCTGTGCTACAACAAGACCAACTGGCTCCACATGCACAAGGGCCCAGCCAGCTAAGGTCTTGCACACAAAATTTTCCACAAGTGGTAGGAGCGCTGGACATGGTGTCCAGCTGTTATTTGCTGAGAGTACTTTAGGAATTAAAAACTATTTTTATAAGACTTCACTTTTTTTAATTATAACAGCAGATTTTCCAGGCTTGTGGTGCTAACACATTAAAATAACACATAATCAAGCTGGCATGCATCAGAGCAGGAGCAGGGGCCAACGTGAGCAGAATATTTATGTGCGTTTCCATTTAAACTTCCATTTAAAGACTGATCACATAGGCTTTGTCCAAAATCTCATATTAACATACTAAAAAATATGTCAAAATTAGTACAGCAACATTAAAAAAAGTCAACTTATCAGTATAGTTGTCGGGGTGTCCAATCTTATCCATAAAGGGCTTGTGCAGGCTTTCATTCCAAACAGCAGCACACCTGATTCTACTTGCTTAATCAATTAGTCTCAGTCCTTAAAGAACTGCTCAAGTTTGCTCCTGCTTTGTTAAAATAAAAACTTGCAACCACACTGGCCCTGGATAAGACTGGACACTTCTGGTAAAGTATGTGAAAGTACTATGTGGTTTTGGACACAGCCTTTGTTTTCACTGCACTCATTAACTGTGTATTCCTCCTGACGCCCGTTTTTACATCAGGTGAGAGAGGAAAATGAGGGCAAGAAAGAAAGAGTTGTACAAAGGTCACTATAGCAGGTGAATCTGATTAGCGTAGACT